ATGTCCTTCTCATCTTCCTTTTCCACTTACGTGTTTTGCATCTGTAGAAAATACTCCCTTCATTGAACAAAGCATCATAAAGCTTATTACAGCAGTTTGGAGTGCCATCCTTCCTGCTGCAGTAGCAGCAGGTGCAGTCAAAACCAGTGAGTTTCAGATATCATGTGCAGACACTACATCTGGCTTGTTTGATATTGATTCTCTTTCTTTCTTTCCCTCACTATAGTGTTCTTCCTCTTTCTTTCACTATAGCTTTCTTCCTCTCTCTCTCTCTCTCTCTCTATATATATATATATATATATATATATATATATATATATATATATATATATATATCTTTCACTATATTTCTCTCTCTCTTTCACTATATCGCTCATTTTTCACTCGTTTACCTCGCATGATTGCAACAAGAACAGCATCATCCAATTTGAATGATGCCATGTAATTAAGTTGAGAGAATGCATTCTGAATCAGCAGGCATTAAGTAATTTATTAAAGATATGTTATGTTTTCGGTTATCGATAACCTTCTGCTCTCAGATTATGATCCTTCTTGCGTCTTTTTGTGTATCGAAGCAGAGAAGACAGAATTCTTTGTCTCTCCCAGGGCTTAGTTTTACACCGGCCAAAATGACACTCATTCTAAACATTTACCTTGCATGGATGTTTCAAAGGAGATTAAAAAAATATATAACTCAAACCAGAAATTTAGTATTGTACATGCAGTCAACAGTGATCTCTTCATTATTGCTTAACTAGTGATTTTATATATTGCTTAGTAATGAAAAAAATGTATGTGCTTTTGTCTTCATCAAAAAGTGAACAGATATGCACCCTATTGAATATTATGTGGGAGGTGTGTGCATATATATATATATATATATATAATATATATATATATGTGTGTGTGTGCGCACAAAGTTGCATGAATGGATGAGAGAATATTTCATGGCCTGGTAACTAATTGCCTGCTAGACAGTAAAAAGACTTCAGGATTGTCGTAATTTTACATAGATTTTGTTTTGTTTATAATAAACTGTTTGAACCTGAAACAATTTTATAATCACATTGCACAAGATTAATGTTAGTATCATTAATTTTTTTTTCCCTTGCAACATTATTAATTTATTGTTTTAACCATTAGAATAACATAGTTTTTGAAGTATGTGATACAAATTCAGGTTTCACTGCTTATTTATTTTGATTTCCCATTGGTTAATGGCCAAAATATAGGCTGGGAAAAAATTTCTGATCAAGTGCTGAAAAAAAAAAGAAAGAAAATTAGTTGAAAATTATTAAGATACTTAATTGTAAAGAATCAAAAACCAAACTTGAGCATTACTTGTAAGATAAATATCAGTTAACACAATTCTTTTAGATTATATCCTATGCCACAGTCTGTTAATAGTAGCAATTGATCAAATAAAAGAATGTCAATAAAAAAATAATTGATGGCCAATTCAATATATCATCAACTTTGCTAGTATTTCAAGTATTAAAAATTTAGCTTTGATTTGTGGCTTCTTCATCAGTGGAAAAAATACTAATGGAATTTGTTACTTAAACATAATAAAAATCTCATTTTTTTTATTGATTTATTTATTTTTATTTATTTATTTTTTTAATACAAATTGTGATGCCAATGAAAATTAGATATAAAATAAGATATTGTGGGGAAGCAAATAAAATAAGCCACCACTAACTACATGAAGTCTTCATCCAATGAAGTAATTATATATGATGGGATTAGAAGGTGCTAGGTATTTTTTTTAGAGAACCAAATGATTGATTTAAAGAAATCCTGTTCCCAATTAGACCATTTGAAGGCAGTAATCCTTTTAAAAGCATCCAGAATCAGTAACATGAAAGGTGGACATAATATTCTATCAAATTTTGTTGACAACCTGACCAAAATTGTGAGTGTTTGGTTGGGAACTTTTCAATTATTTGCACCCTCAGATTACCATTTATTTCCATCTTTCCAGAATTATCTTAATGAATAAAAAGAATTTCCCTAGAAGATTGGAAAAAGCACCTTAAGTAATTCTTTGCTGAAAAAGATAGTTTTGGCAGAATAGAATTTTAATGTTGGCTGAAAGATAACAAAAGATATTTTTAATAAAATTGGAATTTTTTTTTTTTTTTTTTTTTCAGTTGTTAGAAGCAACTGATATTTATCAGTTGTTTTAAACTTTTCCAATCATAAGTAATTTACAATTTGTCAGCCATAGTAGCATGAAATTATTAAACAACAATTGAGATGCAATAAAGAAAACTCTTTGGATCTTCTCTTTTGAAATGAGTATTTGTTAAATCAGCTGTGTTTCTTTTGATAGCAGATATAGGACTTGAGGATTTCATAAGTATTTTTTTTTAATTTGCTAAAATTAATTGATGCAAATATTCAGGAATTAATGGCAATTTGCAACAAAGCTTTACTTTCAAGTTTGGCATTAATTCTCTTAGCTTCCATTGATCATAGACTAAGGAACAAATTCATATTCTAGAGGAATAAATTCACATGAGGAAATGTTTAAAGAATAAGCCTTTAAACTTGTGTGTTATCTAAATGTATATAATGTGTGTTTATATCTACTTTGTGTGTTGTTATATGCTAAATTTGCCAGTTACAGGTCAGTGCTTCTCTTCACATCAATTCAAAACTAAGTTACTTTTTTTACTTGATAAAAATTGTGATAACTAATATTCTTTTTGGCACTATAGCTGATTTATTCAAGTTTTAGAGTGCTATATTTTTTAAGTGAGTACGTCTTTTAAGTTAGTACATGACTTAATTAGAGAATGAGTAGAAATCCTGTACTATTTTAGTGTTAGTTGTGCACATTCAATTTCTTTAGGTGGAAAAGTTGCCATGATGACTGCTTTTTAAAATGAAAAGAAATAACCCCTAATTCAGTGTTTTTTTGTTTTTTTTTAAGAATAAAAATTCATTGCTTTGTTTTTGTTTACAAAGTGAAACTGGTGTATTAACCTGAAAGCACATTCTGTTTAATGAAATCTTTTATTTGAATTGTTTCTTTTGTTCATCATTCTATTGTGATTTTTGTTTGTTAGAATATTTATTTTCTATTTTACTTTTAATTACAGATTATGAATTTAGTAGTTACCATATGACAATTTTATTGTAACTATTATTACTATAAAAAGAAAATTAGTTATACTGTTATTATTAATACAAGCTTCATAATTAATATGAATTTGGTTGCTGTTGAGATAGAAAAACAAACCCTGACTATTTTCATTTTTTTTTTTTTTTTTGTCAAATGTGAATTTATGTAACATTATCTCCTTGCTCTGCTTTCCACCTTTCTGTTTATTTTTCTTTCAAATCTTTTAAGCAATGTTTTTGTCAAACAATTTCCTTCTTTTGGTGAAGCTAGTTTCAAAACTATAGATTGTTTTTCACATTACAAGAGAAGAAAATATAATTTTTTTTTTTTTATCTTTGTGTGATTGTGATTAATCAATGTTATTCCCTTATTTGTTGACAATTATTTATTTTCTTGTATTTTGAAATTTGTTCAAATTGACTGTTCTCAGATTTTCAACTAGGAAAAGTAAATCTAAGAATTTTAGCAGATATTAGTTTTTATTTCCTTACATTCATCAAAGTGTTATTGTAACTTTTCAAAATGAAGTAATTCAGTGTACAAATAAACAAATATTGCATCCCTTAGAAAAGATTACCTGTTAATTTATGGCACTTCAAAACTTGAGATGGATCTGCTTGCTCTGTTTTTTATGACTTGTATTCACAAATATATGGCCTGTATTTATTTGCCATCTTTTTTTTTTTAAAACATTGAAATGTTCTTTTGATTAGTATCTTTTTTTTTTTTTTTTTTTTTTTTTTTTTTTTTTCATTTTTCTTCAGTTATATGTTGCATCTGGTGGTGTTTAAAAGAAGTCCTCATAGTTGAGTGGTTTGTAAAGACCACTGCATTAAGTATAGACTTAGGAAAACCTAGAAATATATTGGCTGAAATGTTGTACTAAAAACACCAAAAATGAAGACAGTAGCCAAAATAATTAATGGAATATCAAAAATACTTTCTCTGAGGCCTTGAGAAAAACAATTGTTTTTCTTGTTTGTCAATCTGCATAGGATAATCTTAAGAAATTCTCATAAGTTTATGGTGATTTGTGATCAGAAAAAAAGGTACATAACTACATCATATCTATAATCCTGTAGACAATATCTACACTTGTAAGATTTGTTATCATGTGTAGCCCTGTGCCAAATTTTGCTAAAATTAGAACTTATCTTTGTTTTTTCATTTTCTCTTGTTTTGGGTTCAGAAAAAGATTAATTGCTTCTTTCTTTTCCTTGTATTGCCTCCTTCTCTTGAATAAAATCCTCTATCCTTCTTTTTCCCTCTAATTTGACCTTAATGACTCAAACACTTATATAGTTTCATACAAATTAAACTGTATTTTCTATCCTTTTGTGACAAAAATATCTCTTTATTAAACTATTGACAGATTTGATATGTATTTCATTAATAAAAAAATTTTTTTGAATAATAATAATAATCTGTCTTGCAAAGAACAGACTTTACTTGCTTCAGACATTGAGATTTATTTTAAAATAGCATATTTTATTGAGACAGTTTGATTTCTTTTTTTTTTTCTTTTTTTTTTTTTATATCAACAGGCAGACCTAAAACCAGTTGAATAAAATTTAAACTTTGATATTTTTTCATGTTGATGACACAAGATAAGATGTACAGAAATAATTAAATTTTGATCTCTTCATCAAAATTTTCTATTAAAGAATTTTTTGTATTTTTTGTGCATATATGAAATGTTTTTGAGAGTAACATAAAATCAAAATGAGAATTTCTTACCATGCCCGTTTCTCTCTCTCTTCCCCCGATGCCCGTTTCTCTCTCTCTTCTCCGATGCCCGTTTCTCTCTCTCTCTCCCCATGCTTCTCTCCCCAACTCAGCACTGTTAATATTTTCCATTTCACTCCTATAGATGCTGACTTTAAATAGTAAAATTCTGAGGTGTCCCTTTTCTCTCTCTCTCTTCCCATGCCCGTTTCTTTCTCTCTCTCTCTCTCTTCCCATGCCCGTTTTCTCTCTCTCTCTCTTCCCATACCCCTCTCTCTCTCTCTCTTCCCATGCCCGTTTTCTCTCTCTCTCTCTCTTCCCATGCCCGTTTCTCTCTCTCTCTCTCTCTCTTCCCATGCCCGTTTCTCTCTCTCTCTCTCTTCCCATGCCCGTTTCTCTCTCTCTCTCTCTTCCCATGCCCGTTTCTCTCTCTCTCTCTTCCCATGCCCATTTCTCTCTCTCTCTCTCTTCCCATGCCCGTTTCTCTCTCTCTCTCTTCCCATCTCTCTCTCCTCTCTTCCCATTTCTCTCTCTCTCTCTTCCCATGCCCGTTTTCTCTCTCTCTCTCTTCCCATGCCCGTTTCTCTCTCTCTCTCTCTTCCCATGCCCGTTTCTCTCTCTCTCTCTCTTCCCATGCCGTTTCTCTCTCTCTCTCTCTTCCCATGCCCGTTTCTCTCTCTCTCTCTCTGCCCATTCTCTCTCTCTCTCTTCCCATGCCTTTCTCTCTCTCTCTCTTCCCATGCCCGTTTCTCTCTCTCTCTCTTCCCATGCCCATTCTCTCTCTCTCTCTCTTCCCATGCCCGTTTCTCTCTCTCTCTTCCCATGCCCTCTCTCTCTCTCTTCCCATGCCTCTCTCTCTCTCATCCCATGCCCGTTTTCTCTCTCTCTCTTCCCATGCCCGTTTTCTCTCTCTCTCTCTCTCTCACTTCCCGATGCCCTTTCCTCCCTCTCTCTTTCTCTCTTCCCATGCCCTTTTCTCCTCCAACTCAGCACTGTTAGTATTTTCCATTTCACTCCTATAGATGTTGACTTTAAATCATAAAATTCTGAGGTGTCCATTAAGAATTATACATGTATTTTCTGAATAAATTGACCTCTACTCTTCAATAAAGCAGTACCAATTTTTATCAAATGTCAGCTTCAGAGCTTTTACACAAGTGGTCCTCAAACATTTTTTCTGTCCATGAAGCCTTTTTACCATATTTCCAAATGTTATTCCTCTCTTCAGCAAAAGGTACATTGTTGAAATTAAGTTTGTCGAAAGATTTATTCTTTAAATCTGCCAGTTGACCTCCAAACTTTTTTTGAGACTGTCAAATTTGTCCTCTCAGCTGGTAATTTTCTTCTTGGTAAATAACCACTGCTCTAAACCAGACTAGGTTTTTAGGCTGATGATATAGCCCATTGTAATTCTTTTTTTTATCTTGGAAAAGTCAACTTATAAACTAGTATATTTTTATTTGAATGTTTGCTTTCAAAATAGATATTTTTGTGATTGTTACAAAATAAATTAAGATTTATTCAGAGATTTTTTTGATAGTTTTTGTTAGTTGACATTGCCCTAAAATTTCAAAATGTTCACTCTTTTTAGAATATTCTGACTATTTTCTAATGTTAAAACATGTTTCCTTATTTCTGACTTCTGTAGAAATGTAAGAAATAATATAAAACTAGCAGGAGAGCCCGGCGTTGCCCGGGGATGTAACAGTAAGAGATAGATCAAGTATCGACCATCATAAAGACTGAAAAATAAAATTGACAAAGATTATTGTTTAAGGTTGACGGACACGCATGTCTTAATTATTTTTTTTTTTTTTTTTTTTTTTTTACGAATTGGTCAAACCCAAACTCAGACATTGTTTTCAATCGTTATGAGTCTGTCGATTGAATAGAATTTTATTATAAACAATTGTCTTGTAAATGGAATTTTTAAAGCATTCTGAATGTAAAAATAAAGAAAAAAGTGTGCAAGACAATAAGAAACACTACCTGCCAAAAAAAAGTGAAGTTTTGTTGAAATCAGTTAAAAAATGTAGGAAATCCGATCCCATATATAAACGAACACACACACACACACACACAACCTGGGTTTTATAATAAGTATAACTCGATATGAGTTGTCCCCCTTTCATTCTGGTGACAGAATCGTGTTTTCAAATTGATTTCGTGCAAAAACAATTGTTTTTTCCAATTTTTGTAAAATTACCTTGCTGTGTTTCTGACAGCCAGAAACACCGCAAGGTAATTTTACATAGTCCTGTGAAGTTTTGTTGAAATCGGTTGAAAAATGTAGGACAACACACATCCAATATACACACACACACACACACACACACACACACACACTCTGCGTTTTATAATAAGTAAGATTTCATACTAGTGAATTAAATTACTTTTTATTTGTCTTACATTTATTCTCAATCAATTTTTTTTTCTGCTTTTTATTTGTGAATGTATTTTTATTATATATTTTTTTTTTTTTTTTGCATATTTATTGCTAATAAAATCTTCAATTTTTAAGAGATTACCCAACCTAATTCATTAACACTCAATTAATGTACATTTCTTTTTTTTAAGTAAATTGAGTCTTGTTGCAAAGTCTTGTATTCATCTGCCTTAGAGATCCATATTGCCCCCCCCTCCCCAATATTTTGAATAAACCAAAGTTGTTCTACAGATAATTGGTTTGGTGATTATATGTTTGGGATGAAGGATTTTTTGCACCTCAGCCTTGTTAATTAACCCTGAGCGTAATCAATTTGAATGGGGATGTTGGCCAAAACCAAGATAACAAATTCTAATTGCTTATTTTTAAATAGATATGCCTTACCTGTTTTCACTAGATTCATATAGTGATTGATGATCTTTTTTAGAATCTCACAAACTTGTTGCATCTGCAGAAAACCTGCAACTGACTGTATATTTTCCAAATTTGTTCTTACTGTGTCTATTGACCTGTGTTCTGTCACAACAGAAAAATCTTTTCCACTTACTGATTGGCTGTTAATTAACACACCTCCCATTTTGTGTGCATTATTCAGCAGGATCAGGTTTCATCTTTTTGATAGATTCTTTTTCCATGATTTAAGTATTGCTGCACACACACACACGGCTACTTGTTTCCAATTATGTCTGTCTACTAGGGTAGCTAACTAATCTGTTACAGACACCTGCTCTGGCACATTAATGTGTTCTGCTACCATGCTCAGCAGGTTTTATTTACTGGGAGAGAGAACTCATAATCTGACATTATTAATAGTTTGAACGAGACCAATGTGCTCAAAACTTTGGTCACAATAGCTTGTGTGTTTGTGTTAATACAGCCATCGATGGGTTCCATTTGCCCAATTTCACTCTCAGCATGGGTCAACCTATGATATAGTTTCCAAGCACAGCTAAGGACAGTAGATGGAAGTGGAACTTTCCAAGTGATAAAATTTATTTCATTTGAAAGAAACCTTTCCCAGTCCCAAGACACTTGGGTGGCATTCTCACCAGACTGATACTGTCACCTCCTTTGATAAATCCACCATAGTGAGGTTTAAACCTGGGTTTCATGGTCAGAATGCTGATGTTCTAACCTGCCAGCCACACACACTAATATATATATATATATATATATATATATATATATATATATATATAGTGTGTGTGTATGTTATATAGACAATTACAGTCATTTGATGACAGATTATGGTTTTAATATCATGCTAAAGCGACATCAAATTAAGCAATTAATCAAAATAATGACCTGTAATATTAATTAATTGGCATTTATATTCATATTTGGATACAGGAATCATGAATTGAAAAAATCTGCTTGGCTCAGAGGTGCTTCTTTGATTGATTAATGATGATACTGGATTGAATATTCAAGCTTTGTTCTTTTGCCAAGTTTTCCTTGTAATTCCATCTGACAAAATCTCTGTAGATTTGTGTGTTTGTAATACGAGAGGGAGAGATGTGAAATCTTACTTATTAGTCTAAAGAGTTGAGTAGTTGGAGTAATGGTGTTTTCTTAAAATGTTTATGGTTCCATCTCAAATCTCCTGTTGTGATACTACCCCTCCTCTCCATCTTTGCAACTTTGTCTGTTGATGGCTGTCCGCAAATAGCTTCAAGTAAATGTTTTATTTTTATCTACTAGCCAGACTTATTATTACTAATGGCTAGAGAGTTGCAAATAGAATTTAATTGTCAGTGTTTTAAGGCAATGTTCTTGTCTTGATTTACTGTTTGCCTTCATGTGATGAATTCTTCAAGTAAATTGAAAATGCACTGTTTTATTATGAAATACCCTTTGTTTTTGACATTTCTAACAATCTAAAGGGCAAGATGTTTGCTTTAGCTATTTTTAAAATTATGTTCACTCTAATATGATTAGCACTGTTTCTTCACTTTCCTTCAGTCTTGTTCTTGCAGTGTAAGTCAGTTTGAAATAACACACCTGCCTGTTAAAGACAGGAGATGGAAATGGAACTTTCCAAGTGTTATCATTTATTTTATTTGAAAGAAACTTTTCCCAACCCAACAAAACCCTTGGCTGGCATTTTTACTCAGTTTATTTCTGAAAATCTAATTTCACTTCACAAATTATTTAAAATTAGGATTTAGTTAAACAGTTTGAATTTTGATAGTTGAGGTTAATTTTAGTGTTAAAAAATAATTAATGCAGGTAAAATTAAACTCTTTCATTGGCTTTCTGTTAATAATGTTCAGATTAGAGAACAGAATCTATAATCTATATTTCTGTGTGTCTGATAAATACTCGTTATCCTATTTTATAACATCAAGAGATTTTTCAATGTTGTCTTCGTCTTGTTATTAATGAATTTCAGTGAATATATTCTTTAACTTTCCATATGTGTATCTCATTGCATCAAGTGTTCTTTAGAAGTGCTATTAGTAATGTTTCTTTATCTTGAATGAATGTCAAAGGTTAGGGGTGGATACTAAATTTCTGCTAAAAATCACCAGGTGAAGCAATGTACATCTTAGGAAGATCAAAGGATACATCAGCCAAGGTTTTGTATTAACTCTGTATTATTAATATTACTTCCCTTTCCACTGCATTATTTTTCAAGATCTCTCAATTGCAGTATCCTGATTGTTAATTTCACTCAAAGGTGTTTTCTGTTGCCATAGCAGGATATGACAACACAACTATTAAAATAAACACATTCAGTTACTTTCAGTGGCAGGATAAAGTTTTTGTGCAACAAATGAAGTAACATACAGTGATAAAGGTTAAAATAACACTAAATGTAAGTTTGGGAATAATAAAATTATTTTAGTCCAGAATCTTTGGAGACAATTGAGCTAAAGTCAGATATTTTGGAAATTAAATGACTTTTGCTTTGTAGAATTTTGTTCAAATAGCAAATAGTGGGCAGAACAATTCCTCCTTTTATGATCATTGCATTAAATTTGTAATAAATCTTGTAATATCAATGCAATATTTTCTTTTCATCGCTACTTTGTTGAATTTAATACAATGAATTCATTAACTATTGAGTTTGTTGTTACTCAATTTACTTGGCCATTATCAAAGCTTAAAAGTGAAAACCTCCCTTCCCTCATAACTCTTAATTTTTAACATCCTGTTATTAGCAAACTGTTCAGGTTCTAGCTGGGATTGTACTTGAGGGGAAGCTATAAACTTTCACTCTGTCCTGTTGTCAGCTGTCTTGACACTGGCAAGCTACAATGGTTAGTAAAGAAATTGCCCAGTTCACACTCTTTAGAACAGGAGTAGTTTTATCCCTTGTTTCCTGTTTAGGATTAGGTTTTCAGTTCCTTCTAAAGTCTGCTTCAGCTCTATACTCCTAACACTTGTTCTTTCCTATACTGATATGTCCACACGGTAATACTCTACTTTGAGTGGCTCCTGGGCCTTGTATTGAGTGAACATTAGTAAAAATAAAAAAAAAAGAACAAGAAAATAGAGAATTCATGTTTTCCCCTGTTGTTGGTACTATGTAACCCAGTATAATTTGTCATGTTAATTTGAGAGATGGGCACCCTCTGAGTTGTTATAAAGAA